CGATCTCACCCAAGCACTCGAGCCTGGCGATCGAGGCAAAGCGACCGCAATGGGAGCCTTCAACAAGCCAGCACAGCAATTCGACGAGCAACAGTACCTTCAACGACAGCAACAACTACAGAGGTCCCAGTCTCGAGGTGCCATGCAGCGATCTGCGTCAAGAGGAGCTCTATCGCGATCCGCATCGAGAGGTGCACTGCAACGAAAAGATTCACTTCAGAAGCCTGCGTTCCAGCCGCGAGGCGTACGTCCAGAGCTTCCCGATCGCGAACGAAGTGCGTCCAATGCTTCTATACAGCAGCGCATTGGTCGGTTCGAGCAAGTAGATCGTGAACGGAGTGTCTCGAACGCTTCCACTCGTTCTCGGTCCAGGTCCGCACCAAAAAGACACGAGCCAAGTCCGGCCTACAATGTGTTCCAAAATGCTGCCAGCCAGATTCAGACCAAGCCTGGTGCGCAGCAGTACGACACCCATCGCACCTTCTTCGGCAACATCAGCGCAAGCGATAGCGAGGAAGAAGAAGACGAGCTTCGTCAAGAGTATGACTACGGTCAGTCAGGCTTTGGGTATGGTGGGCACAATGGCCGATGGCAACCCGCTGGTCTCGCTCCCGTGTCCGAGCACCCGGCGTTCCGTGGACACTCTTCGAAACCAAGTCTCGCTGAAGAAGACGAAGATGAAGAGGAAGACCTGCAACCACAGCCCTTACGACCTACACCCTCATCGCAGCAGCTGCGGACGGATGCCTTCAGTAACACTCACGCCGCACCAGCCCCGATGGATGACATCGATTCGCCCACACTAGGACCCAGCACGTCTGAGCCACTCAACGGCATGGTGCATCATCTCCGCCAGCAAAGCAACCAGTCCTCGATCTACCCTGTAGACGAGAGTGCTCCGATAGATGATGAGGTTCCCGAAATGCCTGGCAGGCCTTGGAGCGACAGAGACCATGCAGTGCGCAGCACTATCGGTTCTGAGTCGCGCATCGAGTCTACTTACACAAGCTCAAACTCGAACCCATGGGACCTGGACGACATTGACAATGTGTACAGTGGCACCGACGACTTTGAGCGGTCGTCCATCAGCCCAGTGGAGGGCATGCAACGACAGAGTCAATTTGCATCTCGCGCGCCATCTCGAGCGACGATACAGCAGGACCGACACTCCGAAGTCTCGGTCAGCTCGGAAAGCGGGAATGCCACGCCATGGCAGCAGGAGCTTCGCAAGCAGCACACGCGAGATGCAAGCACAGCAACGCAGGCTGAGCGAGACGCTTTAGACAATGAGCTCGCAGCGCGTCGAAATGCAGTCCAGGAGAAGATGAAGAGCATAGTCGAGCGCGAGACTCAGAGCAGAGGCGCCAGTCCGGCGCCGAGCGCAGGGGGTGCCTTCAAGGCCTTTGGCATGTTGAAATCGAAGTCTAGCAGAGAATCGGTTGACGTTAGCCGCGGCGCTTCAGCTCCTACCAAAGCGATGAAGATGCTGGGCATCACTGGCAATGCAAGTAGCGTCACTCTCAACTCGCAGTATGAGCGTGGTGGCTACAGCCTTGACGTAAACAGGCCTCGCAACGATTCTGGATCGCGGCCACCTCCGGTCCCTTCGATGCAGCCGCGTGGGCCCCTCAATGACTGGGAGCAAACGCGCACCCGCGGAGACAGTGAGGCGAGCAAGATGAACGGTCGCTCTCCACCATTGTCAGATGTCAGCAAAGCACGCAGCAGATCCAACTCTGAAGCTACCACGGGACGCTCCCGCAGCAGGACAGGTCCGTACCGGGACGATCTTGCTCAAGCAATGGCCATGGGCACTGGGTCCAGTGCCGCTGGGCTACCCGATCTATCACCCATGGTTCCGCGAGAGCTTACGCCCCGGCCTTCGCCAGAGGTGCCCCAAAGCTCGTTCGACGGTCGGTCTCGCGCGCGCAGTACAAGTCGCCCACCCGCGCCGGTGAGCTACTTTGAGGCTGCGAACTCGCCAATGCCGAACGGTCGCTTGGCTCCTAATGCAACAACCCCTTTGACACTCTCGCCGAACGTGTATACACCTGGCGGTAGCTCTGCTCGTCCCTCTCCAGCCGTCTCGCCCATCGCGCAGAACCCGACTCCACCGCTATCTGGTGCGAATACACCAGTCACGGCAAAGTTCGCCGCGGCGAACAACAATCCCATCGTCGAGGCGCGGAAAGGCATGCTTCGCAAGAAGACAGTATCGAAGTTCGACATCTCCGAGCCGAAGTTGATAGCATCAAGTTCGCAGATGGATACAGTTGATCTTCCCGTAGGCGCGTCACTCAAGAATGGCATGGATGAGGCGCCGCCGCTACCACCGATCAACCCTCGACGACGCGCCACGCACAAGCTGTTCGGTATGAGCCGTGGCGGCGGAGTTAGTGAAGACGCACACAACTTCGCCCGGTCCAAGACACCAGATCCGTTCGGTCGGTCTAAGACACCGGATCCGTGGATGAGCGCCAGATCGACGACTGAGCCGGACTTTAGTGGTGCCCGAGACCCTCGCGTCCGTCCGGGTATGCCAAACTCGGAATTTCAAAACCACAGCAGCCCGGCGGTCCAGCAGTACGCACATGCACCACCAGCCAGCTCGCCGGAACGAATAGAGCGCTCTCCTCTGCCAAGGCACCATGGGAGCGTGGAGGGAGGCATGTTCTAGCGAGATGTTGAACTTGCATCACGTCGCCTCGCATCGCAAAGATCAGAACAAGCACAAACACTGTTCCACTTCTCTGCACACACGTAAAAGAACCGCTTGCACTTTGTCAGCGCAGGAAGCGTTGGAACGCATTAAAACGGCCGTCACCAGCACAGCAGGTATGGGCGTAATCGGCAGGGCGGGACTTGCTGCGGTGTTCGATTACCAATTGATTTATCGCACGATACCAGACACGTAGTGCTTTTATATGTATGTATGGGAGGTTGACCCAACAATTATCAGTCCTTTGCAAGTCATCTGTAGGCTTCATTTGCAGAAAGATCTTTTCATATGGTCATGCTGTGCAATATACCCTTCTCCGTTGACACGGGCAGCGTCCTTCACAATTTTCTGAACCTCCTGCACTTGAGCAGATCGGTCTCCCGCACACATCGTCGTCTCCCACAGGCAGAGAGACAAGGAAGTTGGGTTGTGTCTGTGCTGCAACATGAAGTGAATGAGTGGAGAGCACCTGCCCAACAAAGTGTTCGGGGAGATGTAGAAGGCACCCGACAACAAGTCAGTGCAAGTTATTGTGCAAGACCAGCTTACCTTGCGGATCATGAAGGCTCTGCAGGACTCGACTGAACCGTCTAATTCGAATCTCAACGCCGTAGGCAACAACCCTTGCGAAATCCAGCAGCCACGGCGTGAGCATCATATCAAGCACTACTGCATCCATCACTATCTTATGTGCAATCCCAAAGTGGCCAGTCAAATCTCCATTGATGTTACAGCGAAAGCATTACATTCGCCATTACGACCATCAATCAACGATAATCAAGCAAAGTTCACCGGGGCATGAACCGATTGCATTGCGTCAGTCTGGTCGGCGTCGTATCGAGCACTCATGTGAACAGTATGGGACAGTTGACCTGTTCTCCGGAGACGACTTGCAGCGGGAATGAAATGTGCTGTGGAGGACACCACCAGTCCCAAAAATGTCCGATGGGTGATGTTGACATGTCTTCGCACGACCTTGGTGCGAACAGGAGGCGATCCGCCGCAGCTGTGAAATCAGGCAGCCAATCCAGACTTCGACCAGTAGGATTCAGAGCTGTAGGGCCGATATTGTATTTCGGGTGGTTGGATCTTTTGTCATGTTGCTCGGGGATGCAGGGATTAGCGAATATGAGGTTGAGCTTCAGTGTTGACCTGCGTGATAACCTATCCTTCTTCAACATACTAGCAGTGCTGTTGGACAGACACCGTTGAGAGCAGCGATATGATGTACAAGAAATGCATACTACCTCATTCTAAAGAGTGCCAGGTCAAAGTTGTTGAGCATGGAATGTGCTGCACTGACTGGAGTTGACTTGCACCCTTCCGCAGACGATGGTACTCTGTACTCACAGGGGCCGCCCCTCAGGCCACCACTCATGCAATTCTTGAGAGTGTGACCGGTATATGTCTTCGTCCACCACCAAGGCCTCGCCATGCCCTCATACCATATCTTACACCCGTCTAGCGCTATCATACAACATCGTATCGTACCTGCTCAAAGTCTGCGGTCACAGTCAGTATGTGACCAAGGATGCACGACATTTGCTCGCTTACGGTGGAAGCAGGATCTCGGACCAACTGCTGGACAGAAATGCTACGCCTGCCTGCGAACCTATCAGTCTTACGTCTTTGTCCAGAGCTCAAGTAAAGCTCACAGCGAAGAATGCCACGCTGGTTACAACGCTCCTGTTCTCCGCGCTTGTAAGCTCGCCGAGCACCTGGCGCGCATATCCTCCTCGCTGCGCTGGGCGCCCGACTGCTGTTCCGCCAATTTGTCGTTTGGGAGGCATGGTATGTGTAGTCTGGGTGTGCTTAATGGGGTTTCAGTAGTGCTTGCGTGCAGTGATGTCCGTCGCCCTTGTCGCCGTCTCTTCCCCGATGATCTCCTTTGGGATTGGCTGCGGATCATCCCGACTACGTGCCAAGACTTCCTCGTAACACCAACACGGCAAACCCACACAGCATGAAACAGCTCACCATAGCTCCCCCTCCTGTTCCCTGGCATGAACCAGTCACAACCCGCTCTCCTGGCTCCTTTGTACCCACTCGAGTCCACCTCCCATCCTCGGCTTACCCTTCGTAATCGCATCCACCAACAGCTCCTCGCCCTCCGCACCGCCCTGCATCAGACTCTGGACCTTTCGGAGCCTCCTTAACAGCTCCACGGCATTTCCTCGGTCAAAAGAATCTCTATACATTAATGAGTACCACCTCCGACCCGCTTATCCTTGCGGCATAAGGATAATGTCGAGACTTCTTGACTTTGCCAAGATTTCTACCAGCCCGCTTGGCTTAGTGGTACAGCGTCTCACTCGTATCAGTACGTTATGAGAAGATCCCTCGTTCGATTCGGGGAGTGGGCATGGGAGCAACGGACAGTGTGTTGTCGCGAACTTTTGCTCATATGGTGTCTTGTGCCCGTAGGAAGTTACTTTTGACCAATTTTGGCACGAATTCACACACCGCTCTACAAGCTACACGCCTAGTGCGACAGTGCAAGTATCAGGTAGCTAGCTGTGTCAATAATCTACTGATAGCATCCAAATCATTGCCATAGCTGGACCAAGAAACTGCGGCCACAAGTCCGTCACTATGCCCGAGAGCGACACCAGGAAACGAGCCTCCGCCTGTTTTCTGATCACGAGGATACCTGCCACATCCTACGACCGGCGACAAAGTCTTCACGCCACCATCAAAATGTGAGGCAACCAGCCTGATGGTTGTGTTACACAACATGTACTTCGTCTTCATAGCGATGTGGCACGGGATCATTGGCGGCTGCCTGAAATGCGCAGCAACCTGAAGCCCAACGCAGAATGTTCTCGAGACATGGCAGCCATCAAGGATGAGGCTATTGGCCGTAAAACGCCCACACAAAAAAGGCGCTGCTGTGAAGGCATGTTGGTGGCCTCGTTCGCGATTCTATGAAGTACCAGCGGTTCAGACGTTTCTGGAGGTCGTTGCAACATTAGCAAAACAACCATTACGACGGCTCGTTCGTCCAAGCCGCCGACATCACATACTGAAGACGATCGATATCGAAAACACACCGCCGAGACAGCAACTCAAGCTCTGCCTGCTTCACCACGTTTAGATGGCGGACTATTGGATCCCCGTCGACAAGATGTCGGTCCGGTGGCGGGAAAAACTGGTCAGGTTATGGCACTGCGTTCGCTACGGTCCCAACTACGAGGGACTCTATCCCTTCGGGCCTCCACCCAAAATCGTTGTCCCTTATCCACTACTACGCGGGCAAGATTGGGACTTGTGGTGCGGCGGAACATATTGCTACACATGCGACCCCTTGGCAAGGCATGATTTCCCTAACTCGCCACTTTACCGCCGTGACTGTCCCAATCACGAGCATGTTGGCAGGCGTTTGGAGTATGTGGCGGAACATGACTGCCTCAATGCCCATGCTCCTGTCCGAAATCCTCCGTGGTGGCGATCCATGGGTACCTTCTGCCCAAGGTGTGACCCTTTAGTCGGCTGGCCCACCTCCTACGCTTCCGCCTTCCGCCGCTGTCTCGACGCTGATCACTACGGCGGGTTGTTTACATTCGTCCAAGAACACGATTGCGAACACCCTCACGCTGTGTCTTCACTGGCTGCGCTGACACCTGGAGTCCCGAGCGGTACGCAGCAGCTTCCATATCTGGATGGCATCCAAGACGCCGGCGGTGGTACAACGAAGAATTGTGTGACCGCTCTCGAGTATCTGCAAACGTCTTCCAACGTCGCTCCACAAGCTTCTGGCATCGATCAGCCGTGTCATATCGAACCGATTTCAAACGCGATGTTATTGTCCCAGAATGCAGTGACTGACCACTGGCGGCCAAACGGTATCGTCAAGCGCCGTGAAGGTAACGAGTTTCGACCATGGTGGTCATGGTGCGGCGACACTTACTGCGATCGATGCGATCCCTGGGCGGGAGTGCACACATCAAGCAGGCTCCGTCCCTGCCCATTGGACAATCATCTCGACAAACAAAGGGTCTACATCAAGGAGCACGACTGCTCTATGACTCACGCCCCTCTTGATACGTTTGCGGGAATATCCCTTTTGATCACCACCACACTTACCCCAAGCCGCCTCACAAAGGTTCAAAGGTGGTATCAGGACCCACGAAGGATTACGAGCTTGTCACCGAGCCCGTACATGCGACCTATCCATATGAGCTCGATTACTCACCTCCTCAAATCGTCACAAAGGCCCGAAGATACCGGAGGTGCGTGTGTACCTATTGTCCAAGGTGTGATCCGCTGGCTGGCAACGACGAGACTTATTTTGAGCCTCGCCTATGCCCTACTGGTCTCCATACACAGGGGTTGCTTACTTTTGTACGAAGCCACGAATGCATTGGTCGCAGAAAACCACATTAGCTACACTACCATATTACGATCTGCCGCCAACAGCATTACACCTTGCCATTCTCGAGGGTCAGGTGCGCCGTCAAATATTACAGCCTTTGCGACGGACACTGTTGATCACATGCTCCATAGCTGCCAGGGTGTTAGTACCAAAAAGAAGAAGATGTACAGTGCAATACTTGCCTGTTGGTACTGCCACCGCAGGCTCCGCAGGCTTGCATATAGCCGTGGCGCTGATGTGGCGGATACACGGGCTGTTGGTACGTGTCGTTCGACCAGTGTCTCGTCGGTGGCGAATGATGTGGCTGTTGCTCGTACAACTGACGGCTGGTACCGTCGGGACTTGTATACGGATAAAGCGAAGTGCGCGAATGGCTTGTCTGTGTTGGGTACGCCCGTGGTTGCCATTCAGCAGGCTGTTGTGGGTATGTCTGGCTACGCTGACTTCGTGAGAAGCTGTAGTTGACTGAGCTAGAGTCCTGTCCTTGCTGTGGAAAGCTACTTGTTCGAGTCGGTGGTGTAGGGACATAAGACGACGGCTGGTGCGCAGGAGACCGAGATCGGTTCGCGGCAAACTGATATCCCGGATATTGCTGGTACTCCGGCCCAACAGGCCATGCGTGGTCTTGCTGATTGCTGGGCGTTACGTAGGGAGTCGGTTGTGCAGAGTGCTGTGGCTGCGGGTATCCAGATCCATAAGGGGTATAGTCTTGCACTTGTGCCGCAGCAGATGAACGATCTTGAGGCTGGTATTGCTGATCATCGGATGGTGCTTGGAAAGCATTCCGATTCGGGTGGTGGCTATGACAGTTATGGTTCTGGACGTATCTCAAAAATCTGCCGGGGTGATATTCGCATGGCCTGAGGCGATCATCATGATTCAGACCCTTCAAGGTGTCGCATCTGTCGCAGTAAGTTCCGTCACACCAATGCACTTCTTGGGGCTGTGAGTGAACGGTCGATCCTTGCGCAGTCTTCGAAGGAGGACTCGTGGAGTTCTTCTTTTTTCTCTTGATTTTGTCTCCCCGTTCGGTGGTGTACGGTTCTTGCGAATACTGGTCCAACGATTCATACATGCTTCGGTCCAACGGAACTCAGTGGTACCTGTATCACATGCGGCTTGCCGCCGTCCACCGACAAGGTAAGTGACGGCCTATTCGTGGTTATCAGGATGGTTTGCGAAGTGTTACAGGTGGGCGCCTCGATCTTCTTGTACGTGTACTTCCGAACGAGAGGTCGTCCATAAGTGCGCCCAAAGGCGCCCTTGGTGTGTTGCCATGCCACACAGCCAATGGCTGTTTGCCAGGTTGCTCGATGTATCAGGAACATGCTGTGCGACATACCCCACGTTTGTCTTTCCCGTGCATCGGCCGCCTCACCGGTCGCAAGTAGCAATTGTGCCGTGCCCAGGCCGCCAGGCTCGCAATCTGTGAGGTTGGAGAGGTGCGGGATGGCGCATCTCGATTGTTTGGAATGCTCCGGTCTCATGTGCACTGCCGCCCTCCTCGCTACAGCTTCGCAGGCTATGGTTAAGGTCGCTCGCTGTTCATCATGCTGATGCTGAAGTAGTAATGTTCCCCTGGCACTGGCCTGCTAAGATTGACCGTTATCACAACTCCACTTCTTAATCTTGCCATTCCAATGGCGAACAACAATCTTACATCAGATCCATCAGCGAAACGCGATGTTGACATTCACATGGCAAGACACTCTACATGTAGACCGCGCAAGCTCACTGACATGGCTTAACAGCCTCCCGATATCCACCAGCAGACAGAGCTGGATTATGACGCATTGAAGGGAGCCGAAAAAGAGGCGTGTTCGCGCCAGTACTATGGCTATCCAGTGTGGGCCCGACACCAGGCGTCAGGACACGACTTCTTCTTACTGCGGCGATTTGCGCCTCTTCAAGTAAGGTGCCTGATGCATCTGCAGAACGAAATTGGTACACTCGAGCGCCAGCTTGATGCATGGGATAACTATGTTACGAAGCAGCCGAAGGGTTACGGCAACAATTCGAGTATGGCCAAGGATCTTCAGGCCTTCCCTGACCGTCCGAACATCATAGGCCGTCTTGTCCCACTTGTGCAGCAATATAGTGAGTCAAGAGACCGAGTTGTGGTGGCATGTGCAAAAACTGATCACCCTAGACGATCACGTTCTCTCCTTTGCGAGAGTTAGGGCGCTGCCCACTGCTTCAAAACACCACGTTGAAAATCTGGAAACGTGGTTCGCGAATTACCCAGAGTCAGTGGCGCCTAGCGAGCGACACGACGTGAACAATCACGGCGATCTCTTCCCGGTCGTGCCCGTCCCCAAATCGCCTTTATTTAGCTTGCTCGAGCGGTGGGAATGGCTACGGAATCAGTTCCAGAAGGGCGATCGTTCTGACCATCTCGGGCTATCAGAGGAGTCCCACTGGAGTGACACAGCATTTGATACGCTGGCTACGTTCCTGATGGTAATTCTTGGACTTACCCTGCTATACGCCCCCATCTGGTGGCTCAACTATGTCAGCAGCCATGAGTACCAGCTGGGAGTCGTTACTGGATTCTCCTCACTCTTCACACTCTGCCTGTGGGGTGCTGCAGGCAACCGGCCATTCGAGATACTTGCAGGCGTGGCTGCGTACAGTGCCGTGTTGATGATATATCGCCAAGTTAGCAACAGTGGATCCTAGGAGACTTTGTCAAAACGCCTGCACCGGATACCGATACATTCGTGTGTGTATACGTGGTAGAAACTGCGGCTGGACATGCAAGATCGATCACCATGCTGTCGAACGTTTCTTCGCCACTGCGATACCGAAAGAGTCAGAATATTGATGAGCTTGCTATCGATTCGTACGGGGAAACGGTAATGGGATCGTGAGTTGGTTGATCTGTTTGAGTGTTAAGCCATCATCTGACGGTTCAATATGGAGAAGGCACTTCGTTATGCGCTGTCCATTGCACCCCGTGTGCATTTCGTACCGTTGCAGCCCATGGAGGCT